ATTGTACTACACTAAACAGATTTTTTTGCTCTTTTTTCAGAAAATGTAATTTTAACTTAATATGAAGTTATTATAAAATCTGTACGATGAAAGCTTATAGTAATGTTTTCAATTTGTCTTTTACTTTATTTCTAGATTCGTGATTCATGCCTCTACCAGACATAGTATGCAAAGCGTAATATTCAGATAAAAAGTAACTGGCCTTTATAGCTTTCTGTTCGGTGTGAGCCAAGGCTCCGTGTTGAAGGCCGTACTTTGACCTATATATAATTGTTTACTTTTACTAATTGTGACTTGGATGGAGAGTTGTCTCATTGGCACTCATACCACATCTTCTTATATATATTTACAAGATTATATCGCATATATGCATTTGATATGGTGCAGATATTTTAATGTTTGGCGTGATGGACTATTTTGATTTTAGACTGGTCGAATGCACAATAGTTTGCCTAATAGCCTAGTTAATCAAAAGTTTGCGCTACATCACTAATACATATTATATATGTGATCGTAAACAGTTTGAACAACCAATTTCTGAAGGTCGAAGATAGTTTGCACTTCCTATATACAAGGTGATAGGACATGCCGCTGGAATAGGTCACATTTTCCAGCATTTAATATTTGAATAAGAAGGGAAAAGTATCAGAAATATATGATAAGGTCAATAAAGTTCACATTACTTGGTATATGAAAAGCCCAGTAATTTTTTCTCAGCTGAAAGTCTCGCCGTAAGGAAACATTACATAAGGAATCTGAGTCTCAGATCTGAGCACCGAGCAAAGGTTACATTTTCTCGATTTATATGCCGGAACGTGATTTTCGTCCGCAAAAGGTAATTTTGCTCACAAATTGCAGAATTGAGATCGTCCCTTAAAAAAATCTATGGTCGTCACCACAATCTGATTGACCGCTATGGAGTGTCAGTTTTTTACATAACAAAAAGCTTCCCGGATTCCCTGAATTCACCTTTGCATGGTTTTTGGTTGGGTAGCTTCATGTATACGTATTTTTTTTTTTTGTATTATTTGTTAATTCTTTTTCGTCTGTCATCTTTCTTGGTGTTCCCGGCTGTGTTTTTATCCACAATTTTTCCCTCATTTGACACTTTGGTATTCCACTTTTCCAACACACCACACGAAACCCAACCAATATGGGAATAGGTTAAATTTTTACCTACCTAGTTGCGGAACCGTGTCCTTGATATATTATATTGACAATTTGCGGACCATAGATGGTTTCGCAGCTAATCTGAACCATGATATTGTTTATCTTTGTCTGTACGTTCATTATACCAAGTGTCTATAGACATGCAACACATCATTTTTCAAGCTCCCTTTTATCCCTTTTTACTGTCAATGCATTCCTCAATCATTTGGCTACATGTTTCTTTAACCCTTTGGGCTATCGTCGAATTTTTTCAGATCGAAAAAATGCGATGTATAGTCTTGTAAGAGTCAAAGTGAAAATTCACAAATGTTCATCCAAATGTGACCATACTGGACCAAATGCAAAGGAAAAATATTTCGATAAAATTTATAATGGGGTTCAATTTTTGTGGAGATTGGACATCTAAATTATAAGTTTACTTTTTAATTGTAAATAAAGTTGAATTTGTACACATCAGAAAGATCTAAAATTCCAGGAAATGTTCTGTATGCATATCCTTAGAGGTCTTTCATAGAACGATTGGTAAACATTCAAAGTATATCTGTCGGTTTTAACTTTTATTTAAAGGAACATACATGTAGAAGATGCGTTTCTGTTGTCCCGTTAACAGTCATCCTTTCTCTACTCTATATTGGACTACCACATAATCATATCGAAGAAAAAACACTTTTCTCTTTTAATAGAATTGATTTCTGACAAATCGGAGTGTAACTATATGTGTTGCATTTGTTACCTTTAACTTTTTGTCTTAGTAATACCACATACAAACCATGCATTGTTTCTCGGTCTTTCAGGTGTTTGTATTGGTTTCTATTTTTTTACAATACTCTTGGCGGGGAATTTGTGATCCCCTTCAAATTTGAAGAATGTTGTATAATAAAGAGCGGATATCATTCTCGGTAAAGTCTTATATTATAATGTCTGTCTTAGGAGACAAAGCCTACAGCTAACTAAAAATTAAGAACTACATAAAACGTATAACAGGAAGAACCAAAATAGTTTAACGGTTTAAAAGATCAAACCAACCACCAACCACCAATCCACCGACACTTGCGATAAATAGAAGTACAAACAAAGACAAACAAATCTGAAAATACATGGTCCAGATAGTTTGACTATGTACAGGAACAAAACATGTTCCAGATAGTTTGACTATGTACAAGAAAAAGTATTTCAAATCGCCAGATCAACGGGCGAAATGACAATTTTTACTGAATAGTCAGTATATATCACGCCTACAATCCTTGCTGTTGAAAAATGTATAAACACTGTCTACCGAGTTTAAATACATTGTACACAACTTTAAATGTTAAAGTTCTATTTGCGACATATCAATAGAAGGAAGGTTGAGGAATACCGTCCAAAATTAATTAGATTAGGAGAGTTCAATACGTGTGTCTGCTTGGTAATATTGTTTCAGAAAAAAAATATTTTTGACTAAGAGTCATACATCTACAAAAAGAACGGTTACAAAAAACTATATCGATTTTATCACTCAACAAATAGCTTCTCCTTTCATAATTTTCTTAAGATAGAGAATGATTGATCAAACTTGGTGATAGTGTAACAGAATTATCAAGGGAGCAATCAAAAAACAAGTTTAATGCGGGTTCAATACAAACGACAATCCGCATTAATCTACAACAGATTTGATATCATTTGACCATGTGGTATTTATCTCATTCTTTTTACATTTCATAATTATATACAATATAGGAAGGAATTGATTTTGATTTCCAGACAGAAATTGAAACCCAAACTGTATATTTTGTTTGCAATTTATTTAATTTTGACATAACGACAGATACAAGGATCAATTTTGATTACATGTGTACAGTTTCAAGTATGGCCTTTAGAATATTAGTCAGAAATTATTACATCAACTCTAAGGAACGAATGCAAAGTATGATATAACTATAATTATTATATCAGTTATGCAATTTTTAAATCTCCCAGGACAGTTTCTAGTGGCAACCAATTTTCATTCTTATATTTTTTTTGTGTAGGGAATAAATAATTAACTATATGTTGTTCTATTCTTATACAATATTTAAGATATTCCGTATTACCTTTCACATAAGTTTTTTCACCTGAAGTTTTACAGTTATAAATATAATATCTCAAAATCAACATCATATCTTGAACTGTACTATATGGGTAAACAATTTCCTTAATACCAAAAAAAATATCCCTTGCATCTACATGTATCTGTTTCAGGGTAAATCCCCAATTTGATAATAAGTTTTGAAGTGCAATCCAAATATTTCTACTATATAAACATTCCCAAAAGATATGCAATAAGCTTTCTTTGGTTTCAGTACAAAAGTGCACATTTCTGTTTCTTTTAAACCACAAATGAAAGGAAAAGAGATTTTCTACAATATCATTTTCTAATATCTAATCTACCTTGTTTTGAAATTATTTTTTTCCAGCTACCTTGGATTGCAATAACAAGACAATGATATTCCACAAAATTGGTACTAACTGTATGCTGAGATTGAAATTGTTCAAATGTCAATATTTTTTCCATCTTGAATTAGATCATTTTATAAAAAAATATACCCTCATTACAGTAATTTTCATAAATAAATGGCTTTCCAAGTTTTTAAATACTAATATTCAGCCAACTGGTTTGACTCAATGTTTTTGGCATAATTTTCATTTTTCATCTTTTCTGGCCTCAATTTGGATAAATTAAGAAAAAATCTCTCCAATAAGGATTAAACATTTTTGCAATAGTTTCCAAACCCTCTATCGTCAGTTGCAAGATTTGATCCCTCCATATTTTTCTATATATCTTAATAATAAAATCTTCCATGGGGAAATGCAAGGGATCTAGCAATTTATATAGCCATGACATTTATGCCTGTACCAAGTCAGGAATATGACAATTGTTGTCCATTCGTTTGATGTGTTTGTGGTTTTGATTTTGCCGTTTGATTAGGGACTTTCCGTTTTGGATTTTGCTCGGAGTTTAGTATTTTTCTGATTTAACTTTTTAAAGGGACATACTAAAACTTTCTAAATTGGGGGATTAAACCTCCATCATCATAATTACATGTGTATTTATAATAACTTTCCTTTTTATTTTGTCTGGCTTTCCATCCCGTAAAAAGTTGTTGAAAATTCCTTGTATATCCTGCATAACCTAAACAGGTGAATTTTGAAGTACAGCCAGAACCTGCACCAAAAGGGAGAGAGCCATAGTTTTTATAGCAATTTGGTTTTGCCAATATATGTCAAGTTTCATGTATGCCCATGAATTACGTAGACTTTTCATGCTTTTACTTTTTTCTGTATAATTTTCTACAGTTTTATCCGCATTTAAGAGATTGAAACGAATCCCCAACAGTTTAAATTTTCCTGATGTGTTCCATGATAATTTCTTATTTGTTAACAGTTTATATTACTGCCAAATCCATATATTGATATATCGAATACATATATTCTTTGTTAAAATAAAACATGTTGCTCAATTGTACATCCAAGTCATTTGGAATATGGTGAATAGTTGTTTCATAGGCAATCATACCGCAGTCTCCCTATTTTTATATGAGCTTTTAATTTATCATGAAGTCTTGTTTTGATTACTTTGCATTCAACTTCTACAGAATTTGAAATGAACTCATTATGGCCCACAATTGTTTCTTCACTGTAACACCATTGTTGTTACATTTTTGTTCATCGGATGTTGTACAAAGAGTGGATTTAATGAATTTAATGTGAAAGACAGAATCCACAGAAAAACCCACACAAAAATATTCTATGATAACACGTAAAACTATTTATACTTAAATGTATATTCAGTCATTTCAGTTTGATTTAAATTAAATGTAAATGAACAAACCCTGACTCGCAATGTCAAAAATAATCGGCAGTCAAGCATGGCATATTCCCTCATCCGATGACTTGTTTTGGATATAAAAAAGGTTCATATTATATAGACACCACAACTCCTGGAGCAATGAAGTCCTTCTTATGTTTCAGTATTTTGATTGTCAACTTCGTTGCTTGTTTAAGCTATACAGACCATTTTAACGGTGAGTCATTTCATTCGTATACAATACTTCACATTCTACTTTCAACAACATATTTCATTGTAGCACATTTGCGATAAAACTGTTTATATTTTCATAACCCATTCCTTAAACAAATCAGGTTTGTTCATATATATTTGAGAAAAAAGTGAGATCTTTTAGTTTTTACTGATTTTTACAATCAAGCGTCTATTTAAGAGGCCACATGAAGATCTGCAGTTTAATCAGAGTTAATTCCTAAAATACACACGACGTAATTCTAGAACCAGTTGCGGATCCAGGATTTTAAAAGAGGAGGGCAACAAGGCAACTTAGGAGCAGGACTTGTAAAAAAGTCTTTGCATTATATATGTATCTGTAGAAAGACGGAAGCTTAGCTGTGCCTATGAGTAAATATTTTAAAATGAAGCAAATCAAGGAGTTTGAATCAATTCAGCGTTAATGAATTTGTCAGTTTATGCCCTTCAAAGTCAGAAATTAAAACTGAAGCAAACACTTGAAACACTTGATATAAGTTATTCATATTATTCCACTAGTTTTTACATAGCTGTTCAACAAAATTGTTCTCATACAATTACATACATAATCAATAAATCACCATTCTGAATATAGAATGGGATAACAGGTGCAAAATACCAAAAACATTTCTTTTGTATATCCGGGTGATTTGCTGCCTCTGTCACTCCATTCGTATTTCAGAGATATACTAGATTTGTCATGAAGAATCTAAGTCTCTGGAAAGTTTAGATACTTTATGTCTGTCCGTACATATTTCAACGATTTTAAAACAGCATAACTGAACAATAAATATATCATGTTTTAAAGTCAAATAATTCAATGTTTTACCAAAACTTTAAGGCCAAGGAACAGTTAATGTTCTATGTCACAGATTATGGTAAAATTTTGCATACAATTTTGACTCGTTGAACTACAACTGAAAATCGAAAAAAATAATGCATTTATCTCTTATATGTTTTGAAATATAAATGATTGAATTCTTTCAAAATAGGTGAACGTTTGTGAAAGCACAAAAAATCAACGAAAAACGTTCATAAATTTGTCTTAAAACATCAAATCTCCAATTTCAAATCCATAGATTTTTCTTAAAACATTATATGTTGTTAATTTCCTTTTTAATGATATGAAATAATCATATGAACTCCGACTTCGATTTTGTCTATCAATTAATTATTCTGTTACCTAGTTGATAGTTAAAAACGTCAAAAATCGACGTTTACGACCAACAACGCGATAACCATACGCTTATTTAGACGTTTTGATGTATTTTTTCCACTTAAACACCACTGTCAATGATGTGTACTGTTAAAACGAAGTCGGTGACCGTATTATCATTTTATTATATTTTTTGCTGCGAATATATGGACATAAAAACGGATACAATTTTTAATGATTTATGTAAATGAAAAAAAATATAATATCTAATAGTTGTCGTTAAAAATATTTAACGTTTACATGATTTAGACTCCGAATGACAGTAAAATAGAATGTTGTAAAGTATTGAAATGAACAAAATCAAAAATCAAAAATTTTCATTTAACATTGTCTTAAAGACAATACTTCAAAACAATTATCGCATAAAAACAGTATTCGTTCAAACATTTCTGTATTAGCTGATAACATTTTCCCATCTGGAAAGAATGTTATAGGATACGTATATATCAAGAGTTATCTTCATGTACAATTTTTACTCGTTTGATCTATGAAATTTCAGGAACGATCTTTGGTACTGCTAAATATTCAGCACTGTATATCGGTTGAATTAACATTTCTTACACCAATTTGTGTGTAATCCTTTATAAAATGTTTAACTAACCGCATATACATGTACAAAATGTACTAAGCGTAGATCATTCCCGTTCTAAAAAATATATCTTTTTAAAACGACTTTTTAAATCGCCGACTATCAAAATGCATATCCACTTACAAGAAACAAGCTCAATATCACAATCTATATTCCTTCATATTGGAGATTAAATAGGGGGAGGGTAAATTCAAATGGTTAAGATTTGATTTAATTGAGTAATATTGGTACTATAACAATACCAAATGCATATTACTTGAAAATCACAGCTTATAAGATTACATAGATGCTGACTATTTTGGACAGAAAATAAAAGACATATCTTTGCATAAAAATAGTGTTCAGTCTTTATGATATAAAATGACTAGGGGGTGTTCAACGACCCTGACTACTCATGAGGGTCTCGCACGGTTGGCACTGGCTTACGCCTTTTTCGGCATTTGAATAATCAAATAAATATATAATGAGACCTATTTCAGTGTAGTTTTATGTTTCAAAATTAAATACATACTTAACAGATATTTTTGTTTTTTTGGTAGCAAAACAGTTACATTAATTCCACAAGGTCGTCACTCCTTTATTGAAACTTCACCGATGTTTGTCCGACAATTCAGTCTTTTTTAAACTCGTTATTCCTATAATCAAACTGCATTTGGTTACAGTAAACAAATTTGTGAAAAAATACTAATATTATTACTAAGTTTTTTCATACATAAATATAACCAATTTTGTTTTATGTGTCCTGAACCGTCATATTTGTTCCTTTCGAATTTCAAAATAATGTCAGTTCAGGTAGTATATTTGTTCTTGCCTTTATAAAATTAATGAATACTGTAATTTTCGTAAAAAAGATTAAAAATCATGAAATAAGAGTAATGTCGTTTTGAAGGCTAGAAGTAACTCATACGGACTCGTATTACTCATTCACGGGTAACACCTGTCTTATTTTTGTCCTGAAAATATATTCTAAACCAGTCTACCTTGTAAAAATGGAGATAGCCCCCTAACTTCGAAAAAAGCAAAAAAAAAGTTTTAAAAAAAAAAACAATAAACCAAACAAACTGCACATCCCATACGCATAAAATTGAACTGCAACCTGTGTAAATACGAGCAAGCTACTGCCAAAATTATTTCATTATTACATACATTGTTAAAAAACAATTCATTGCATAATCTGTCGACGAATGTGAGGTCAGTGGTAACTTTTCCTTTCTTCAGAAACAATTTAAACATATATAGTGACATGGTTTGTTGAAAATTAAAGTTTTCTCAAACAATAAACCTTTCTTCTCAAATTAAGTACACATTAAAACAGCTGTGTGATTTCGTGACAGATAAAAAGCTTGTAAAAAGTAAAACAAATTAATCTGAGGTGCACATTATAAAATTTCATTTTATAACACGAAATGTCAGATAACACGTTGATCTGAATTAACACATATAGGCCATGCTCTGAAACATAATGCTGGGAAATTAATTGATATTTGATAATTTAAAGTTCCAAAATCAGCACTATTATGTATTTCAATTTTTCGTTGACAAATAATTTGAAACCTATTTTAATTGTTAATTGTGGTTTAAGTGATCGTGACATTTAAACAATAAAAACTGCAGATCATGTCTTTTACGTCATGAATTGTATACCAACTACTGAGATCATTTCCGAACACATATTTACCCAATTAATATATTCCTCTAACTGCATGATCTAGTGTTTTGCACAAATCTGTCATATATTTGGCTCCCGAACACTTTAGGACTCTATCGTAACTGTGAAGTTATTCCACGTAACATACGTACGAAAATCGGTACCGTACGTTTTTCAATTTCTTTTGCCGCCAAATATGTACAGACTTTACATATTATAGTACTGAATAATAATTTGTCAGATTCAATTAATTCCACATTGACTTTTTAAGATTATTTAGATTAAAAGAAGAGACTTCCATGAACTATTTGGTAAAAATGAGGGTGTGGTGTTAAACCTGTCTTGTTTGTTTTTGGGAGTTGCAAGTACTACCCTCTTTCTCCTCTGCTTAGTTTATTTCAAAGTTATTAATAGAGATTTATTCATTTTTGTTTCTTTGACTAAATTATATTTTGCTGAACGCGTTTATTTTTTTGGGAAGGGATATCACCACAAATTTTCTAAAACTATATATTTTGTTCATCATGAATTTCGGTATCAAATAATTCTGCCTTACTGCACTGAAGAACAAGTGATTAGGATGCTGATTTTTCTCATTGACAATATAATTGTTGAATTTGGAGGTATTTTTTTAAACCGGTTCTCGAAATTTCTATTGGAACCAACTGTGCACTTCTCCTAACAGGCCCTTTTTGATGAGTAGGCGTTCTTTCAGGCACTTATACATGAAAAGAAGATCAAAGAGGTAAGATTATTTAATTTTAACAATTCAAACTTTTCTGATTGGCTTCCATTAATATATCCTCTAGACCTAGAGATAAAAGAAACCAAAGACACAGCTTCCTCCGTCTCGATTTTAGACATAAACATCGAATTTGACTCCAGCGGTCATCTCAGTACCGGAGCCTATGACACATGATACGATTTCAATTTTCAAATTATAAATTTTCCTCTCTTTAGCATCATCAGCATAAGGAATATTACGTTCCTTAACTCATCCGATAATGATGAGCTTGCAGCTGCCTTAAGTTTGAAAACCGTCATCGGTGTTTGACACTAAAAAAAATGGATGATACCTGGCTCATAGTTTGGTAGGAATATTAGTGTCAACATGTCCTTGTACTAGTATGCCACTTTTGAACAGGATCTGTATTTAAACATCTGGCTTTCAAATTTATGGCTTTGGGTGTTCCTGATGCAATTAAAGCAAATTGAGCGCTTCGGACACATTGCATTTTTAAAGTATTGTTTTCATTTTGTGAACTCTCGTATTTATAATTTACTTATTTTGTACTTTATTGGGAACTAGTGTATTTGTAATTATGTTTTTCAATGCTGTACTCGATTATATTTACTATCAACTACAGACAAGTTTTTGTTAGCGTCTATGTTTGATTTAATTGTATGTTTGTTTGGATAACAGTTTTTAATTTAGTTATGTTGTATATCTATGATGCGCATTGTTTGTTTGTGCAATTTTGCTGCTGGATCCCAATTATTGTAACGTTAACTAATTATGTCTGGTTGGATTGC